CCTCCCGTAAAGCCCTCACCTTTCTTGCCGCCGCGGGCCGCGGGTGAAATACTAACGCCTCACAACTGTGAAGGCTCCCGTCAAAAGTTGGGGGTGTCGGGCAGCGGGCCGGCAAAATGGGAGGCTATTTGGGGGCGGCGCACCCCGCCGAGCCCCGCCCGGGCCGGGGGCCGGCTAAACCTGTTAGCAGCGCCTGGCCCGGGGGGCAGGGAGGGCGGCGAGGTCGGCGGCAGGACCCGGCGATTAACGACCCCCAGGTTCCAACAGATGGGGTACTCCTTGGCGGCGACCGCAGCCCGCCGCAGCCCGCCGCCCCGGGGCCACCACGCCACGGCGTGCCACGCGCGCGCCCCCACCCTACCCGCAGCCCACCAATAACGTGTGCGTACTCGCATGGTCTCAGCAGTTGACTGACCCGTTCACATTGCCGAAGAGCGTACATCGCCAGGACTGCCAGGACGCGAGACAAAGGGCGCGTGTTATCCATGGCTTTGCTGCGCCTGCCCGCCCCGGGGTCAAACATCCCCTGGGCAACGGGGGGCGGGGGCCACACTACTTGACGGGTATGTTGTTGGTGGGGGCGGGCGCGCGGGTCTCGTGTACACAGCACAGCAGCAAGGCGTCGCCCCGAATTACCCCCAGCTGGCGTCACGAGGCAGCGGACTTACTCGCTCCCCAGCCGAAGCCACCCCCCACACACCCGCAACTCTGGCCGCGCGCGCGACCAAGGCGATCACGAGAGGGGGCTCGGCAAGTTGGATGCGATATACGAGGCGAGGCGGGTCGGGTCGGCGGGTCACGCGCCCCGCCGGGGACCAGCCGCAGGCACTAAGCTACGCGTCACCCCCCAATCCATTCTCCCTCCGGCTGAAGGATCGCACTTACTCCCGTGTCTTGCTGAAAGGTCCCGCCGCCAGGTTTCTTGCCCAACGAGGGGGTCGCCTGGAGCCCCGTGCCCGTCTTGTCGACAAGGTTTCACGAGGATTGACTTTGGCACCGGGGGCAGCTGTTGTAGTGCTCACAGAAGGGGCGGGGAGGGGAGGGCGGGACCAGGG